TTCCAATTAATAGAGGCATCAACAAGGCATATCCTTCATCTCAAAATTCACCAATACATGCCATCTCAACGAGCATAAGCTCCATCTCAAAAATGCAATGTATGCGACACAACCATGAATGTAATAACGACACCCAAGTTAACAACATCTCAAATTAACAACATCTCAAAAGCATCTCAAATTAACAACATCTCAAAAGCATCTCAACGTCTCTTCATCAACATCTCATATCATCATAATAATTCATCAAACATCATTTATTTATTATAAATCATCAACACAACATCATTAATAACTTCTCACTAACAACTCAGCTGTACATTAATACCACAGTAGTTCATATTGATATTCTGTAACTCTTACATCATTACCGTCACTATTCCTACTGTTATAGTTCAAACAACAACCTCTAAGCATCTAACCTTCATCATTCTGTACAAAACCAACGCAACTTCTGACCAACACAACTTCTGACAACATAACTTCTAACCAACACAACTTCTGACCAACACAACTTCTGACAACACAACTTCTGAAAACACAACTTCTGATCAACACAACTTCTGACAACACAACTTCGGACCAACACAACTTCTGACAACACAGCTTCTGAAAACACAACTTCTGACAATACAACTTCTAACCAACACAGCTTCTGACAACACAACTTCTGACCAACACAACTTCTGACCAACACAACTTCTGACAACACAACTTCTGACCAACACAACTTCTGACAACACAACTTCTGATAACACAACTTTTAATAACACAACTTCTGACAACACAACTTCTGACAACACAACTTCTAACCAACACATCTTCTACCATCAGAACTTATACTTTTTACTAATCCAACGCAACTTCTAACCAACACAACTTCTCCCATCAGAACTTTTACTTTTTACTAATCCAACACAACTTCTAACCAACACAACTTCTACCATCAGAACTTCTACTTTTTACTAATCCTACTATTTTGATTCTTAGCCCGATATCAACTTAACTAAAAACAGTACGACTAACTCTATCCCCAATTTAATTTATTATTCTAATACAGAAGCACCTGATCCTTCCTGCATAATTCTGCGTTTTTCTTCCCTGCATCTCACTACGAGATTCATACTTAAAGCCATAAAACTTAATATAATCATGACAATTCATCACCTATAATCATTCTATAATACTACATCGATCAAACAACATCATGACATCATTATTCATCTAAAATTCATCAATTCTTCATCATACATCATATTCATCTAAAACTCATCAATTCTTCATCATACATCATTATTTACATTCAATTCAAGAACAAGACAACAATCACCTCTAACCCCACATATCAATCATCATGAACCCAATTATAGAGTTAGAACCCCACCCTTACCATGGATTGAAGGTCGCTTTATAATCTTCCGGTTGAATTCTCGTTCTTCCGTTTTTCCACTTTTTCCAGCAGCTTGCACGTTCTCCTCTCATTCCTTATTCTTCTACTGCTTCTTTCTTTCTATTCTTTCTAACCACAATAAAATAATCCTATTATTCTTTATTCCTTATTGGGCTCAAATTAATACACCCCCTTATTACTTTTATTCCTCCAAAAACAAGCCCACATCCAATAATATTATAATTCTAATATTATTTCTCCACTTAATAAAATAAATCCAATTAATCATAACACATCTTCACAAATATTCCAAAAATAATTTAATTAAATAATTAATTAAATTACGGGAGTTACACTTGGCGTTAGACATAACCTTCATTGTGGGTATATCTTGTAGTGTCCGTGATGATTTTAACGAGTACAATAGGTTGAGCGAAACTGATCGATAGATTTAAGTTTATGACGAGTAGAGTAAATTCATAGCGGATAAGTTGTCTATCCTTTATAGTTTTTGTTTACATTTATTTTTTGTTGATACCTTTTCCATACAACCCATTCAACCCCCAAACTCATTAACGATAGATTTGTCGAACGATATTTCAATACAACAATCTCTGTAGACATGATACGATATAACCTATATCACCCGGTAAATTAATAAATTACTTTTTGTTTGTCGCTATAACGCAGCAACAATTAGGACATTTATTTTTTGTATACTAGAATTTCATACAAGATGGTGAAGATACTGAAGAAGTTTAGGAAACTATCGATGACTACCTATGGGCAAGAGATAGGCCGAGAAGAGTCATGAATCCACCTCAGAGACTTGGGTATGCAGATCTCACGGCTTATGTCATAATCTCTTCAAGTGAGGTTCTAGATGAAGAACCTAGAGACTATAGGAAAGTTACGAGGAGTCAAAATAATATTGAATGGTTGAAGGACATGGATGATGAGATAAAATCTCTTCATGATAATTACACTTGAGAGCAGATCAATAATCCTGATGGAGCCAGGTTAGTCAACTGTAAGTGGATTTTCAAAGTTAAGGAAAGAATCAAAGGAGTTACGTCGTAGAGATACAAGGCAAAATTGGTCGCAAGGGGTTTCACTCAGAAAATAGATGTCGACTTTAATGATGTGTTTTCTCCTGTTGTGAAGCACAAGTCCAATTAGATTTTACTTGTCATGGTGGCACAATTCGACCTAGAACTGGAACAAATGGATGTGAAGATTGTTTTCTTGTATGGAGATTTAGATGAAACAATCCAGATGAAACAACCTGAAGAGTATGCAGAAAGAGAGATGGAAGATTATATGTGCAAACTGCACATGTCATTATATGGCCTGAAATAATCTCCTCGAAAGTGGAATAGGAGATTCGACAAGTTCATGGCACACATAGGTTTCATTAGAAGTTCGACCACTTTGCTTACTTCATATTTTAACTTGGAAATTCATTTGTTATTTTGTAGCTTTATGTGGATGATATTCTCATAGCAAGCAATAATGTCGAGAATGTAATGAAGGTGAAGGCTGAACTCAATAAGGAGTTCGACATAAAGGATCTAGGGGCTGCTCCTAGGATTCTTGGGATTGACATCCGAAGAGATAGAAAGAAGTCGAAATTATGTTTATCTCAAGAGGCATACTTAAGGAAGATTCTCGACAAGTTTGGTATGTCGAATTCAAAGCCTATTGTGACTCCGACAAACCCTTAATTCAAGCTGAGTATAGATCAGTTTCCTAGTACTAAGATCGAAAGAGCTTATATGGATAGCATCCCATATACTAACATAATAGGTTCTTAGATGTATGATATGGTCTGTACTAGACCCGACATATCATATGCAGTAAGCCTTGTAAGTAGGTACATGGAGTATTCTGGAAAGGCTCACTGGCAAGCCATTCTGGAAATACTAGTCTCTCATCATTGCACAATGCAAATCCTAATTAGATTGAGAGGGTTATTTGTTATTTTATAACACTTATAATCTTGTTTCAAAGAGAAAGTAAAGAATATCAGTTTATAACCAATTCATTGTGTTCTTTTGCTTCCTCTTTTCCTACTCCTGTGGTTTTCTTGCCACTCAAGAAACTTGTTATACTCTTTTCTTGGTATCGTTTTTCACAACAATTATAAAAATGAGATTGGTCCTCATTTCTTTAGGTTCAATGTCAATGTCTGATTCGAAGGATCAACTAGACCAAATGAATCATCGTTTTAACCACTGTGACACAAGAATAATGATCAATGTTGAGTACTATTGTCTGTCAATCTACAATGATGAACGTGTTTAGTTCACCAACATGCAACTTCAAAATAACAGTGATGTGAGAATCATGGTCTAGATACTTGGTCAATATCGTGCCAATGGACCGATCCATATAAACATTACTTTTGTCATATATATTTGTGTTATATGTTCAAACTTAATTTTTCCTAAGAAATATGATGAAATCGCAGCGTGCTTGGTTGGATATGATAAAGAAGTAAGTAGTTTGTTTGATGTATAACATTTTTTGTATTTAATTGACGTTTTTAACTTATGTTGATGTAGTGTTGGTGTTGCTGATGTGTTATGTTGTTGATATATATATATATATATATATATATATATATATATATATATATATATATATATATATATATATATATATATATATATATATATATATATATATATATATATATATATATATATATATATATATATATATATATATATGTTCTTGAGGTTAAGTCTTCATGTTTCAAAGTCTATAATATAAAAATCTAAAAAATATGTTTTAGATTCTAAAATCCAAATGGTATTTTGGAATTTTAGAAGAGCTTTCGAAAAAACTAGAAGGGTGAGAAAAGTAAGATCATGTTTTTTTAAACCTTAACATGCATTAAGTTCAACTATGTTGGACCATGCAGATTTGATAACTCTACATTCACCAACTTTATTATTGAGTATTGTCTCAACTTTTGGCTCAAATATCAAACAACTTTAAAAGTAATATAATGAACACTTTCTAAAACACTCACTTTTTTATAATGAACACTTCTTAAAACACTTTTTAAAAATTCATATGATACTTACACTTTTAAAATGGATTCACATAACTTATGGTAGTATCCGCATGAACTTCAATAAAAAAAAGTGTGACAAATGTTAAAAAGAATATTCTTTGTACTTCTCTTTTCCTATTTTTTCCTCCATTTCTTCTTTCTTCTACACACATTTGTTGCTAGAATCAACGTGTAAGATTTTAAAACTCACAACTCTCATTTCACTCTAACGCTACAAAACACGTTGTTTGAATTGTTTCGATATTAAGGATAAATTACATCATAGCATAAGATGCTCTATGGAGGTAGTAATATATGAAGAGATAAAAAATGCTCTATACACAGAGTTGTTACTTGTTAGGCAATGGGCACATTACTTGATCACATTTCTGCTTAATCATGCTGCGCACATTACATAACTTATTTATTCCTTACAACTAGTAATTTTTACACAACATTGAAAGGCCAAAAATACATACACACATATACATATACTGATACAAATGGTAATATACGAAAATGTAGAAAGTACATATATCCAATGACTTTTTAATTTGTTTGAAGAATTTTCCCGCGATTCTCAGCTCTTTGTTCAACTGCAAAATGTGGAACCATCACATGAATTATTGTCTTTCTGAGGTAAAGTAGTTTGTTATAAAAAGAAGAAAAAAAATTGTATAGTGTAAGCAAATATCATATTAGTATACTATATAGTATATAACAACAATTTTTAAGAAAACATGTGATATTAATTCTCGAGCACCGACACCTATGTAAAATGTGATGTATGTGTTAATGTCTGTATTAGAAATCGAAACCAACATTTATAATTACATTTAATTTATTTATTTTTTCAAATTATTACTGGTGTCAAAACGTATTAATGTCATTGTCTGAAATTGCCGTGTTTCAGGTATCAGCGCTTTTTAGGATATTTATATTCTATGTACCTTCTTGTGTAGTGGAGCTTGTTTGCGAGGAATTAGCACGCGCTGTAGGACTTTTGACGCCATATTTTAGATGTGCTTGTTCATCATTCCTTAGCAAAGAAGTAACAGCTCCTTTCACCCTCTCAATCACACTACTACCATTAGAACCTCTCCTAGGAGTCAACGATGCTTGAGAATTATATGAACTTTTGGGGCTTATAGTATTATTAGTCTTCACACTCGGAAGAGAAGGCGACGCGGTTTTCATCATTACTGAAGTGACAGGAGCAACAGGGGTTATTGAACCAACATTGTATTTGGAGGAGGAAGCAGATTGAGATGATGCAGTTGAGGTTGATCCTTCAACATTGGATGATGTCAGTTTCTGAGTCATTGTTGTGCTTGGTGTTGTTGCAAGTTGAGGAGAATTTGTTGTAAAGGTTGTGGACTTGATAGGAGTAAGTGCATTTTCTTGATCTTGCTGTTCTCCTGATTTCATTGTCCTTAGGACACGCTTCTCGGAGATTACTGGATTTGCTCTTGGATGTTGTCTCGCATTTTCTTTGTACTCTTCGGGTGCTAGCTCTGATTCATAGACTGAAAAAATAAAAGAATGAATAAGAATGAATAAACATAAGACTAAAGTTTTAAATTGCGGTTGCAGTTGCTATCTGAATGTTATTTGGTAGTGGCTGTTTTCTAAAATGTAGTCTAGGAATTAAAGAATTATGTTAATTACTTGGAGCTCCGAGGTACTCAGGGTCTTCTTCTTCCTCTTCGTCTTCTAGGCTAACTCCCCAAGATGGAGTGGGATTTTTGTCGTCCCGTCTTTTCTGGCTAAGGCTGTTGCGCAGTACTAATTTCCTGGCCCTTTCCTTCACTTTGGCGAGAACTGATTTTCTCTGATAGAGGCCTTGATCTTCTTCAAGGTCATGGGGCTTCGCCCCAAAGTAAGGAGAGGAAGGAGAAGAAGCAGATGTGGGAGAGTAGGTTGGTGACATCCTAGAGGATTCCCCTCCTGCAAATGGAAGCATAACATAAAATGAATACGATTATATATGTTACTTGTGACGCAAGCAATTCTATTGTATTATTTGATCGATCAAATTTTGACAAATTTTGCGACAACTTCAAAAATAAGTAATATTGTTCAAATATTTAGATGGTTAATAGATATATAAGATAACAAAACTTATGTAAGACCGATGTTTCTTTAAACAAAAGTTATGTTGAACAAAAATGTGTTTGATATCCGACGTTTATTAGTGTTTGACACCAGCAAAACATTGATGCATATGATTACGCTCAATTTATTTCCTTTTAAAAATTATAGCTGGTATCAACTGTGTTCATGTATTTATTGATCAAAACTTGTTAATCATTAAAATAATTTCATTAACCAAAAATATAAATGTGATTAATCATAATTATTTAGGTGTCACCTCGGAGGAATTGTTCCATGGTAGCAATGGAAGGACTTCTTGCTGTAGTATCAACATGTTTGTAAGTGCGCTCTATCAGAGGCATTTTTTCTGAAAAGTTCCTTTGATATTGCAATGTGCTTCAGCTTTTAAATTAACTTTGCTTTAATGTTTATGATTAGTTTCTATGGTTAACAATAAAAGGGTATTAACTTAACACAAAATGAACCATCGTGGAGAAATTGGTTCCGAGGTTACAGGATTGTGCAATGATTTAGAATGCTAATTAGAGTGAGATACATTTGTGGACTCATTTTTTTGCACGCGGAGTCACAATTTTTCTAGCTACTAAATTTCACAAATAAATAGTTGACCTTAAATAGTGATTTGACTAAGCCAAGTTAACAAATTGAAACTTGTTTAAAAAAAAATTAACTGGTATTTATAAAAATATTAAGAATATAAAAGAAGTTATTAGATGTTAGAAAATAAATGATTTTCAATTTTTTCGTTGGAATTTTTTATTTACATTAAAAAATAAGAGACTACACCCTTAAAAAGGAAACACTGAGAGCACCAGATAACAGAGCTTATGCATTAGCTATAACACTGTAGAGTCATAATAGCACACAACATTCCTCCATTACCAACATACCCGACGACTAGATATATGATTGGTTGGAACATTATATGTGTTTGGGTGTGAATTGAAAAAAAATCTGCGACTCTCATTCCTTACCTTGGTTAGTTTCCAATATTATTCAAGGAATGCTCATGTCTATTTTCAAAGTACTCCAAAAAAATGCTATGAGTTATTGAGAACTTTTGTCTCATAGACCTACAGTGCAGTAGAAATCTGATGCGGTTGTAACTTTGAGGCTTTATGCAGGGGATGGCTATTAAGTTGTAATTCTTTGTGTCGAATGTAGTATATTGTTTGATATAAGGTTTGTTGAAATAGTCTAGAGTGTGTGTCAATTTAGTCTGTTGAAGTATGTTAAAGTTGTAGTATGTCAAAGTGGCAAAACAGATAGTTTTACAGAGGATTTCGACTTAGGTCTAAAATAGTTATTTTGAGCTTTAGCTTGTGGAGCAAGCTAGTTCAATTATAAATAGAGAGAGTAACTCTTATTTTTATAACAACTTGTATTCACAGAATTTACAATTGCAAGTGAATAAAATTTTCCATAGTTTGTGGACAAAGAGTTACTCTGGAGAAATCATCATCTTCTTTCATATTTTGTCAAACCCTAATATTCTTTTTTTCTCTGTTGTCTTGCTTTTCATTGTCATTGTTTAGTGATAACAATCTTGTTCATCAAGATTGATAGAAATTTATCATATGTTTTGGTGGATTTCCAACACCTTGTATCAAGAGCTCCGGTTGAGCGATTCAATGCAAGAAAATCACGATGGTAATGAATAGTTCAAACGGCTATTTTCCAACAAGTCTTTCAATTCTGAAAATTGATAACTATGAGAATTGGTGCAAGCAGATGAAGGTTGTGTTATGTTGTCAAGATCTTTGGGATCTTGTGAAAGAAATATTATAACTGCTTACACATGAAGCAACATATGAATAAGAGGAAGCGTACAAAGAATTAATGAAGAAGAATTATAAAACTCTCTTTATAATTCATCAATGTCTGAATCCAGACAACTTCGAAAATGTGAGTGATGTAGAATCTACAAAAGAAGCTTGGGAAATTCTGAAAAAGTCCTTTGGAGGTGCAGAAAAAAGTGAAAGAGGTGAGGTTACAAACTCACAAGAGAACATATGAATTGCTTCAAATGGAAGAAAGTGAAAGCATAATAAATTTCTTCACAAGGGTTACGAAACTGGTGAATCAAATCCAGGTATGTGGAGAAGTGTTAACAACAAGATCAGTTGTTGCAAAGATCTTGAGGTCTTTGGCCCCGATGTTCGACCATAGAGTGGTAGCCATAGAAGAGTCAAAGAATTTGTCGACATTGACAAAAGAAGAGCTTCAAGGAAGGCTTGAATCTCATGAATAAAGAATAGCTAAAAGAGCTGCATGAAAGTCGAAGAGTGGTGTGGCTTTACAGGCGCAATCAACAAGAGAAAAGAAAGGTAAAGGAAAGTGGTTTGACAATAGAGGTAAAGGAAACTACAATAATTCGATCGGTAGAGGATACCAGCAAGAAGGAATTGTATCGAATCAGAGAAAATTCCCATACCAACGTAACCAAAGAGGTGGTGATAGAGGTAGAGGAAGAGGTGATGGTCGAAAACCTAAGAAGAGTCACATTTAGTGTTTCAATTGTCATAAGGATTGTCAATATTCTAGTGATTGTCCAGAAAAACGAAAGAATCAAGAAAGTGGTGCAATGTTTGAAAAACATGAAGAAGAAGAAGAGATGATGTTGATGGTCACAACAAGAGATGAAGAGAGACTCAAGGACCAATGGTAATTGGACTCAAGATGCTCATCAAACATGTCTGGAAGGAAAGATTGATTTGTCAACATAATTCCCTCAATGAAGAACATGGTTAAATTTACAAATGACAATACCCTAGAAGCTAAAAGTATTGGAGACATTCTGATTATGAGGAAAGATGGCAAAAGGTCAATAATTTCCAATGTGTTGTACATATCAGGTATGAAGAGCAAGTTGGTCGAAAAGAATTATAAAGTTTCAATCAAAGACAAGATGATGAGATTCGTCGATGCACGAGGAAGGTTAATCTTGAAGGCTCCTATGTCTCAAAATAGAACTTCAAGATTGAACTAAATATGATCGAGTACAAGTTCCTTACAATTGAAGCTAGCAAAGATGAATGGATATGGCACTATCTACTTGGCCATCTCAACTTCAAAGACATCAAAGATTTGAAAAGAAGAAAAATGGTTTAGGACTGCCATAAACTGACATTCCAAACGAGGTGTGTGAGGAATGTGTGCAGGCAAAGCAACATAAAAATAACTTCAGCGAGGATGTAAGAAGCAAGTTGAAGGCTATTCTTGAAGTCACATGCTCTGATATATGTGGTCTTATCCAGGTGGATTCGACTGGAGGTAACAAATAGTTTGTCGCATTCTTAGATGATTTCAGTCAAAAACTGTTGACTTACCTGATCAAGAAGAAAAGTGAAGTGATCGAGGTATTTTTCAAGTTTAAGTTTACGATCGAAAGACAAAGTGGTCGAAAACACAAGATTTTGAGGACTGATGATGGTGGAGAATATGTGACGAAAGACTTCGACATGTTATGTGAGAAAGAAGGAATTGTGCTTGAGGTAGTTCCACCCTAAACTCCACAGCTGAATGGAACTGTAGAAAGGAAGAATTAAACCATCATGAATATGGTGAGAAGTATGTTAAAAGACAAGCATTTACCTAAAGAATTTTGGGGTGAAGTTGTGTCGAATGAAAAATACATCCTGAACATATGTCTGACGAAGAAGCTAGAAGAAATTACGCCAGAAGAATGTTGGTCTGGTGTTAAACCTATCTTGATTCATCTAAAAGTGTTTGAATCTATAACACATATACATGTGCCAAATCAATTGAGAAGAAAACTTGATGACAAGGCGAGTCAAATGATCCTAATAGGATATCATTCGACAGGAGGACACAAGTTGTTCGACCCAGTGAACAAGCAAGTAATGATCAGCAAGGAGTGGGATTCGATTGAAAATTTAAACAAGGATTCAGTGAGAATATTTTGTGAAGAATTAGCGACTGAAGTCGAAAGAGAAGAAGTTTGACATGAAGAAGTGAGAGGTGATGTAGGCCCAAACAGACCTCAGAGAACTAGACACACGCCTACAAGGTTGAAAGATTGTGTGATTACATCAGATGATATGGTCGATAATGAAGGTGAGCTGGTACACTATGCTTTCTATGCAGATGTCGAACTAGTCAATTTAGTTGAGGCATTAAAGGATTAGAAGTGGGCGAAAACAATGAATGAGTAATTGAAGTCCATCAAAATCATCAACACTTGGTTACTTGGCGAATTACCTCAAGGAAAGAAGAAAATTGATGTCAAGTGGGTATACAAAGTGAAGTTGAATCCTAAAATAGAGGTTTATCGACACAAGGTGTTAAGTGTCAATTTTTGGTTATTTTCCATATCATATATTGACACTTTTAAGCTCTTTTCAATGATTTTGATTATGAAAATGACTTATTTTAAGTGATTCTTCCATCAATATATATATATAATCTTGGAAAATTTAATGTGTTTGTTAGTTTTTCATTATGTTCAAATGTTGCGGCTTAAAGCGGGCTTAGAGATGAAGAAACAAAGAAAGCTCAACTTCAGTGATTGAGAAGCCTCTCCCGACGAGTGGGAGGCGACTGAAGGAAGCCTCGCCCGGTGAAGGCGAGATAGTTTGCAAAAGTTATTAGTTATTGTCTTGGTCTCGCTTGTTGGAGCGCCTGACAAAGTGGAAGCGAGAAGGACTCGCCCAACGACGCAGGTGACTCATCCGATGAGGCAAGATATTTTTAACTGCTTGCATGTATTATTTCTGTCACGTGGGCGTGTTTAGTGGGGCTCGTCCGACGAAGCTTGTGTAGTGTCGGGCGAAGCTGAGCGGATAGTCCTTGCTTATAAGCCACTTTTTAGATATTTTGGACATCATCTTCCATTTTCTAACATTCTTGTAACCTAGAAACACCTTTGTGTGAGAGAAAAACTCATTTTCTTCATTTTTACTCAAAATCAAAGCCTTATAACATCAACCTTTGAGACTTCAAGTTTGACGATCATAAGGCTTTGTTGTTTACTTCTTGATCAAGCTACAATGGTGATGGGTAGCTAAATCCCTCTTTGTGTCAAGATTAGAGGTAAATAATCTTAACTTTTGTATGTATTTCTCTTAATATTTTGTATGTGAACAAGTTGATGATGAATATATGGTGAAAAAAATTTGTTTTATGGTTTATATGTGATTTGATCATTATTGAGAAATATGTTCAACTCTTGACCTAGGGTCTTCATCTATCAACATATAATTTCTAGACATAGTTTTGTGAGTTGATATTCACCTTTATCAAGCTTTTAAAGTTATCATATTGATAGTTAGGTAAGGAGATCATCTTAGGATCAATATGATAAAACTCACAATTTGTTTTA